AAGACAAACTCGTGGGAAAAAAAGTTACCCGCAGTCGAAATCGAGAAAATTTCATTTATTGTCAATATAAATCAAAAATCAAAAATAATGTAAAATTATTAGACTGAGCCATAAATTATTTCCGCTTTCATTAGTCATAGTTATTCTTCAAAAATATATTACAACTGTATCTTTACAATTATATATTTACTTTGATTTAAAAATGTTTTTTTTTTGTTTTTTTTTATACTAATTCGGGAGCTCTTCGATGCAATTTGAGTAAAAAATACCGCAAGGTTAACCGGGAAAAAGGCTTCCTTTTTCTTTTCATTAGAAAAAGTTCCGCCTTAAAGCGTTTTACAGCGATAGCAAAAGATGGTAATCAGTTGATGAACGGTCAGGTGAATAGGACGTCTGGTGTTTGAAAAGACCAATCCAGATCCCAAATCTTTCCTTGGGTTTTTCCTGGTTAAGTCGACCGGGCGTTAAACTTGCATTTAAAATGTGTCCCATCATTATGGAACTCACTGAAAGTTTTTTTTTTTTTTTTTTTACTGATGAGCACAGAGCTCTTTTGGGCCAAATTTTAATGGACGAATTGCAGGAGATAGACGTACAAAATTGGATATATTGCTTTATTTATTTTAAGAGTCTAAATAAAAATTTCCTGTACGATCCTTCCACACGCACAACACTGCTTTGCTTGCATAGTGCCCAGTTTTAGGGGTTGTTAGGGAATATTTTCCTTGTTAATCAAGGGCCAATATTACATACATCATTACCGAATGTACCCCATTTTTCATCAAATGTATTTCTGTATTTAAATTTATTTTAGATGATCTATTAATAATTAGAATTGGTTTTCCAAATCGGTAATTATTTATGAATCAAGCTTGTAAAAGTGTTGATAGTTATTTATCTGAAGATGTTTGACAGTAATAGCTGTTGACTCAAATGTATAAACAGAAATTTGAAGTTAAATTCAAACGCAGCAGTCGTATTTAAACATTTTTATAATAAGAATGAGAGAAACCTCAAAATATTATCTGGAATTCCACTGCGAATAACACGCAAGAATGGTAATTTCTACTTGAAGCAGGAATTAAAAAAATAAGTGAGAGTATGAGATTTACTATTCCTTATTCGTTTTTGGTGGCTTCTTCAACAAATTATTTGGTAACTTGCAAAGATACATATTGCCACCAGCAACGAAAGATGAAGACCCTTATATTTCGCAATGACAAAATTTCCAGACAGCTTTTAAAAAAGAGTTTAATGAGAAAATTCATGGCTTGTACATTTTAATACCTCCAATCCATATTAGCATCATTCCTCTATCACTGTTCAGAGTGTGAGCTTTCTCTAGTCACTACGAACGTTGTCATGCTAAATAATCTCCATGTTTTAAATGTCTATTGCAGAGGTAGCCAAACCGCGGTTACCGAGTCTCACGCATATCTTTTGCCTTTAATAATGCGGCTCGTGGAAATATGTTGGCTGAACTCCTTTTTTTTTCTTCGGAGTTAAGATAAAAGGTAAATAATTAAAAAAAAAAAAATCAAGATTTATAATTATTTATTGGGTATGAATTAAGACTCCATTGGAATAAAAAGTAAGTTTAATGTTTAGAAAAAATATTTAAGAATTTAAATCCTAATTTTCAGGCTTGATCTGAGTCAGGGATTGTTCATTAGTGCTTGGGGAAGCATTGTTGGGAGTCAGAGGGATTAAAGAAAGTTCGGATCAACAAGGATCTCAGAGGAATGCCAGAAGACTGAGGTTATACGTAAGGAGATTAAGGGGATTATATTCAGGTTATGCACATAATTTTATCTTACTGAAATGCAAATTAGCGAATTTTTATTAGAAGTCCCCGTAGTTGATTAACGCATTAAATACACTCAATATATTTAAAGCAAACATCAGACAAGATTTAGAAAACGTTTGTTATAAGAAATGGACAAAGTCCGACAATTTATTTATTAAAAAGACATTTTTATGTTTAACGTCCTTTTTATAGATACAAGTATTTAAGTAAATGCTATTTAATATTTAAATGTTATTTAATACTGTTTATTATAAACAGAGCATTTACTTAAATACTTGTATCTATAAAAGAACGTTAAACATAAAATGTCTTTAATATATATATATATATATATATATATATATATATATATATATATATATACATATGTTTCTCCGTGTTTGTGGCTGTGTGTGTGTGTGTACTTTGTGATTACCAGTAGAAATTAACGGTTTAAAAAAAAACTGCATACATGAATAAATCTTGTTGAATACACGCATTTCTTAATATTTCTTATATTAATTATATTTAACTTTTTTGTAACAAAACGTGTATGTAACAAAAAACGTATATGTAAATATTATGTCCTTTGGCTCTGAAATATCTGACCTTTATCGTATGTGACCTTTACATCAAGCAAGTTGGCTATCCCTGACCATATATATATATATATATATATATATATATATATATATATATATATATATATATATATATATATATATAAAAGAAAGAGGTTGTAGTGGTTCCAACGAGAGAAATGTATGTATATTAAAACGAAGAGAAGAGAGCTGCTGCAAACGTTTTTGGTTGTAATGTGGATTTATTTAGAAAAAAAATATTATGCTTTGTTTTACATAATTGTACTACACGAGTTTCTGGTCTCATGACCGTCTTCAGGTAAAAGCGGGGATTTCCATATATTCTGCGCGAAGAGTCATAAAACAATTAAGGTTGGTCCGAGAGAAATGATGAATTGCTTATCGGCATTTTATCTTTTAATGTTTTACTGACCCCTATGTGTTCTTGGATCTGTTTCCATTTTTGTGTGTTTCTGTCAGCATGCGTGTATATATGCGTGCGTATATTCCCCCTCCATACATATATTGTCTTACTACGAGGAATTAGTGAACTCATTTGTACATATACACGCATACACACACATACGCACATACGCACACACACACACATATATATATATATATATATTATGTGTGGTTAGAACGTTCGCTTTCTGATCATGAGGTTTGGGTTTGAATCTCACCAGGGCCGATGTGTCAGGAAGCAGAAGTAGACTGATGTTTCTGGACTGGATCGAGCACCTTTAGAAAGTGGCTGAAAACCATGGTACGGGTGAACCCAAGACTTGTGAGTGAAATTGGGTTGATGGAACACATGTGGGCCGGCGATAGCTGTGCTAGCACAAAGTCACAAGTCATCGTCGCCGAAGGCTTGAGCGAGCTGGCCTTGTTCAAATTGTTGATAACGCTTGATAACACGCTATCTCTCAGTATCTGTAACTAAGTTTTGCAATGCATCGTTGCAGTATAAACCAGGGCTTGATATATATATATATATATATATATATATATATATATATATATATATATATATATGTGCATCTATAAGCGTATGTGTGTATATACATATGTGCATGCGTGTAAGTGTACGAGTATCTTGATTCGATGTATTGTGAAAAATATGTGTCTGTGTGAATATGTGTCCAGGCATGTATATGTCCGCATATCTACGTGTGTGCATATATATATATATATATATATATATATATATATATATATATATATATATATATAAGAAGAAAATATACGGAAAAAAAACAAACAAAAATCCTTATATGCAATTATGCTGTTTTAATGTTAATATAATGTCAACGTCGGACGTTTCTGGTCTAATAAACCATCTTCAGGACATATGCATAAAATATAATTAACATTATTAATTCAACATGACAAAGACGATGGACATAAGAACAAGACTTATCCAAACAGATACTGTCGGATCTATATCCATATATTTGCTTATATATATATATATATATATATATATATATATATATAAATACATGAATGTGTATATGTATATATATATATATATGTATATATATATCAACGTGTGTCTATATATATATATATATATATATATATATATATAGTTTCATCTATCTATTTATCTAACTATCTATCTATCTATCGATATATATATATATGTATATGTGAGTATATATGTGTATGCGTACATGTGTGCGAGTATATATGTACAGTTGTGTATAGTGTGTGTATATATGTGTATATGTATCCATGCTTGTGTATACATGTTTGTGTATGTTCGCATATTTGTATATGCATGTGTTTATACATATATATGCATGGCTCTGTATGTATATATATATATATATATATATATATATATATATATATATATATATGTGTGTGTGTGTGTGTGCGTGTGTGTGTGTTTGTGAAAATATAGAGAAAATAGGAAAGAACTCGTTAGGTAAATAATCCAAATTTCTTTAGTATTTTTGTTATTATTTAAAAAAATAGACAGTGCTCGATACAAAAGTAGAGCCTAAATATAATATTTAAATATATATATTCTTACGAATCCCTCCTCTTCTTTCTCCAACCTTATCGATAGCGGAGGTAAAGGAGGATCGTAATCTGTGTTATTTTGCTTTTTTTTTTTAACATTTTACATTTTTTTGTAAAATATATTTTTTTGCCAAGGGTTTCTTTCCGATTGATCAAGACACGGCCGGGCGGAATTGATTAAGGAACAAACACGATAGGCGACAAACAACAATGGAGACAGGACATATAAATTTATTAACACACATGGAATCGTCGAAAAGATAAGAATAAAAAAACGGCCAAAACAAAAATGACGATATGTCAAGAATAAACATTTAAACATTGTGGACCAAATAGTGGGAGGAGAACTTCCTCTAAGAAAGGTAAAATAAAAATCACCGTATGGCCTTGTGCCATACTCCCACGAATTTACAGAACATGTGCTATACCTGCACGGATTCACAAAACATCAAAATTTGAAGACAAGTTGACAGAAACATGTAATAAAAAGAACACATGCTAAATTTGCATGAAAGTACAAACATGAAAAAGAGGTACAATTAAACAAAAACGGAACACAATACAACAAACTTAACTCGGAATAAAGTCCTTTTCCACTAATAATGTCTCTTATATCTACTTCTTTTCTGTTACTTTTTCCTTTTCAAGTTCTTTTTATAAGGGTCTCCTTTTGAGGTCTTTTCTTACTTCCTCTCTTTCTCTTTTCGTCGTCTAGGGGCTTGGCTGACGATTAAGCAAAAAATGCGTTCCCTCTCTCTTTCGTCTTGGTATAAAAACATTCTCGCTTGAGATCGTCTTTTCTTTCTTTCTTTCTTTCTTTTCCCTCTCGTTCTTTGTTTAAGGGTTTGATGACAGTTGAAACTGCTTTCTTTCACCTCGATATAGAGGCGTTCCGCATGCGCCGTCAAACGGGACATCCATTCCACTAGGAAACCAATTCTCCTCGCAATTTCGCGAACATATCTTTTCGGCCAATATGCCAAGACATTCGCCAGACGTCCTATCGGCCCGCAGGACTCGGCCAAAACTAACTTTTTCCGTTTCACTATTCGTTTCCGTTTTCTTCTTGTCACGTGGTCAATTTTCAAAATACTAACTTTTCCCCATTATGGCTGGAATGGGGCCATCGACCCTCTCTCTCATCTTCAGGGTCAGACAAAGATTAGTTTAAAGTGTTTCAACTTCTCCCAACCGGAATCTATCCGTTTAAATCATGTTGTCAACACCTTGACCAAAAGAGAAGGAAAGGGTACACTCTGGTCAATCCTTGTCGCCACTATGTCTACCTATCTCTTTGGGTTTACTATCTTTACATTTTCTGCAAGTACTGGGCTGTTTATTTTAGAATGCTTCTAAAATATAAGCAATGGTAAATTTTTATAATAAATTTAGATCGGGGTTCGTAAAATATATATATATATATATATATATATATATATATATATATATATATATATATATATATATAGTGAATATAGAAGTCAACACTTAGAGGCGACAGTCTGTTTCATGCTATATGCAATCGTCAGGCCAAAACAAAACGACGATTTCATATAGCATGAAACAGACTGTCGCCTCTATGTTGACTTCTATGTTCACTTTTTATATTTACACACGCTCTATCTCTGATATTGAGCACTTTATCCTATAAATATAGCACACCTTAAGACTATAATTCTTCATATATATATATATATATATATATATATATATATGCTCAGGTGTAGCAGAGATATGCGTATGCATATCTATTTCTGTGCTTATGTGTGTATGGCTGTATATCTGTTTGTATTTGTGGGTGTTTGTTTATAAGCCCATGTGTATATATATATGTGTATATATGCCTATTGTATGTATGTATTTTTGCGTGAGATTAACTGTATGTGTGTGCGCCTGCGAACTTGAGGAGGAGGGAGGATTGCTGAGCGCAGCTCTAAGCAAATACAGCTGCTTCCGACTGTGAAGCTTCAAATATTGCTCGCCGATATGAAAAGCTCATAATAAGTAATTAGTTTTCACTGATGACGTAAAGCGACGTAAAGGCATGCTTGATATAAGGATCAAAGCTGAAAAGCGATAAACACGTGCGTGGTTTATAGCTTCTGCAGTGACAGTGGCGGTTGAGGGCGTGATTTCGGAAAAGATAAAAGTGGCGGCAACAGAATTTCCCAAAAGAACAGCAAACGGAAATAATGACTGCTTAGACATGTGACGAGCCAATATGGCGACTTTGACGTCGTTGGGACTTTTGTCGCATGGTGGAAAAGATGGCGTTAAAGAAGATTTAATAACAATTCTAATAAGATTACGGATATTGTTAAGATTAGACTGAGCCTACTAACAATTTATAAGACTAAGGAACCCCATGTTTTTAGACTACTCCTCCCTTTATAAGATCCTTGATCCCTCATTAACTCCCATATATATATATATATATATATATATATATATATATATATAGAGAGAGAGAGAGAGAGAGAGAAAGAGAGAGAGAGAGCGAGAGACAGAGACAGAGAGAAAATAGAGACAAACTTCTCATCAAAGGACTCCAGATTCAAAGGACAAAATCTGCAAGCAAAATAAAAAAAATATCTGTAGGAAAAAATATCTTCCAATCGACAGCGATGTATTTCAAAATTTGCGGGCTTAGCGGAACGAGTCGTATTAGCTCTCAAGGTGAACGCTTGGCGGACCCTTCAATTGTAAACAAAAATTGGTGTACAGTATATAAAATACGATACATTAGCATGTACGTGAGAAAGTAGCCGTGAGAAAGTAGCCGTGAGAAATATATTATTTTTGTTATTTTGATTAATATATCTATATATTTGTTTATGCCATATATACATGTTTATAGTATTTACACCATGATCATAACTACTATAGTGGTTTTATTATAAGTCAAAATTAATACCTTATCATCTACAGACAATCGACTTTGTTCCGTAGATGAGAGATTTGTCTGTCTGTCTGTCTGACTGTCTGTCTGTCTGTCTGTCTCTCTCTCTCGATATATATATATATATATATATATATATATGAAATTAGATGTAGTTGTCAGAAAACCAACACAATGATTTGGTGAAGGCTCGTGTCGGACTATCCATACTTTTTGGATCTGTCTATAAAAAAGTAACGGTGCAAAAGTCTTGCCACGGAAACTCCGAACAACAGTCCTCATATGTTAGTATCGCGGAGTTTAACCTCTCCGGAACACAGTCAATATCAGCCAGTACGAGCCTTTCGTCAGACACATGCAATATAATTAAGCTGTCATGAGTTTCCCTTCCCATCTGAAGTCTTTTTTTCGTGAAACCAACAGTAAAAGGATTGCTAACCAAAGCTCAGAGAGACTCCTTTCGCCCTCATCAAGGGCAGCTAGCCTGCACCAGTTCTCACCCTGGCACTTTAAATAGTTCCGCACATATCCGGCTACTGCGAAAAATTCTACGAAACAACATCAACTCCATCTTGGCACTTCGAATGTACGAACTCTCCAGGACAACAATTCAGCACCAGAAAGAAAAAAAAAAAACAGCTCTGGTCGCATTGGTGCTAAAGAAGTACAACATTGATATAACTACACTGAGAAATAACCATCAGTCGACTACATGAAACGAGAAAGCAAAATAATACATCTAATTATGTTTAGTTTCAGTTGGATGCGATACATTCTCCTGTACTGACTGGGGTCTTTTGTGCAATTCTCGAACCGGTCTCAAAAGTCATCCGGTCATAGGCATACAGATAATTAGTTCGTGGTCGTCGGAACCTCATTCGTCGAACTCGACTCCATCATATATATATATATATATATATATATATATATATATATATATATATATATATATATATTTTTATGTTTAACATTCTTTTTATAGATAGAAATATTCATAAATAGTCTGTTTATAATAAACAGTATTAAATAACACAAAATTACCGGCTTTTATCCCCGACAGATTCAAAAATGGAAAATACAAAACCGTCATTTAACTTGACGTGCCTTTACCGATTTGGCCACGAAGGATGACAAATGACGGTTCCGTATAGGATACAAATTCGAATCCTGTCGGAGGACGAATATTTTCTGTGAAAATTTCTCGGACATTCAGGCCAGTAAATGATGTTTCATATTGATTATTATGAACAGACAATTTACTTAAATATTTCTATCTATTATAAGAATGTTAAAACATAAAATGTCTTAAAAATAATTCTCTGACTTTGTCCATTTCTATAATATATATATATATATATATATATATATATATATATATATATATATATATAGTTTATAAAAAACTAGGTAATCCGTATGGGTAAACCTAAGGAGGATAAAATCCAGAGAGCTCAATATTAATCCAGAGCAAATAATTTAAATAAAAACTGACAAGTTCCATGTCATATATATATATATATATATATATATATATATATATATATATATGAGATATATATTTTTTGTATATCAAGAACAATATTTGATGAGATGATCTGTTTTTGTTTATTAAACTGTATATATATTCATTGACATTTAAATGCAATGTCAATCACTATTTACTGTCCTTCCGGTTACTCGTTTCACTTCCGGTTCATTATTAATGTTTCTCTTAATAATTCTTTCACCCCTTGTAGACACATGTGACTTAATGGCTTTTCTGCTTCACATTGGCAGAAACCGATTAAAATATTAGTACTCTTTTCAAAAGAAAGTCTTTTTTTCTTTTTTTTCTTTTTTTTTTTACAGTTTGTCATGATTGCATTAATCTCGTCGACAAGCAGAAATCGATTCTCTTACAGCCTCGATATCCTAAATGAACAGGGTGCTATATTCAACCCGTAGCAATGGCTAGCAGACACGAGCGATGCTATTGTTAGGTAAACAACAAAAAAAATTACAAGAATTTCTTTCATTTACCATTTTGATCACAGTGAAGGCAAAATTAACACGGCATTCAAATCAACTCAGTGTTATCGCGTAACCACGATGGAGAGTGTCTACTGAAGAAATATAGCCAGCATGATCGAATCTGATTGATTCGTTGTGAAGTTTGGTTTGTTTTGTTTTGTTTCGTATTATGGCATATCAACCATAATGGGTTATTTAATGCCGACAAAACTTTTATTGCTGGCAATAATTTGTTTTATCAAAAATGTATTTCTGGTAATAATTTTTCCTTCAAAAATGTATTGCTGGTAATAATACTTTTCACAAATGTACTGCTGGTAATATTTTTTTTCAAAAACCTATTGTTGGTAATATTTTTTTTCAAAAATGTATTGCTGATAATAGTTTTTTTCTTCAAAAGTTATTACTGATAATATTTTTTTACAAAGTATTTCTTGTATTAAAACCTATTTTTACACTTTCATATTGTTTTTACTCCAGTTAACTACTTGTCCATAGCTGGGACCCTAACAGTTGCTACCGTCCCGGGTCAGGGTGGACCTGGGAACACCAGCAATTAAGAGGTGGTTCCACGCTCTTGAAAACCTCCAGATCAGAGGCCTTGCTGCTGGATGTAGTTTATCGTCTTACCAAAGACGCGGATGTAGTTTATCTTCATATCCAGGGCGGTGGACATGGGACAGTGGATAAAGGCGTTATTTTTATTATTATTATTATTATTATTATTACTACTACTGCTACCTCTACTACTACTATCATTATTATTATTATCATCATCATCATCATCATCAACATGATCATTTTTAAGATTGTAAAATTTTATACACTATTTATATTATTCGGACTATTGTCCTCATCTTTGTTGCCATATTTATCCATTGTGCCATGTGTCCTTAAGAGTTCAATACCTGGTTAAAGCAGTGGATATCTTGGAGAATTGAATTAACAGTAGATAACTGAAAAATGAAATCCATTAGACATGGCACGTGGAACGAGAACAGTCTACCCCAGTGAGTGAAATAAATGGTTCAGTTCGACATTCCAACCACCTGAAGAATGCCGGAGCGTACAACGGCCGAAACGTTGTAATAAATATGGCGACCAAGATGAGGTCTGAATAATGTAAATAGTGTACAAAATACCTCATCTCAGAAATAGAGACAGATATTGAAGTTCGATCTAGATGCACATCGTAAGATCCATTAATTAATGGCAATTGCCGGGAAGGGGGCGTCGCAGTGTGATAACGGATAGAGAACTCGTCGAGTAGACAATTACGATAATGTAATTAGTTTGATTCTCACTAGTTCGGCAATCAGTACAGAAGTGAGAATTGACTTCACCAGATTCCACAAACTAGTGGCGTTGTGCGAGAGAAAGTTTCGGAAATATCGATCAATTGACAGAAAGTTTCTCTCTTAAGAAAGACATTTATTGATTAGTCTTATTCTAATTTTATCAGGAATTCTCAAGACTACATCGCTCACTTACTCTCCTTGGATTCGCACATCAATTGCTATAGTTTACAATATCTCTACACTGCTTATTATATATTAAATCTATCTGTCTATGATGGTTTGTTAAGATCTATCTAATTAATTATCTGCTTACCTAGCTTGCTATCGATAACAGTCCGTTCAGATCTATCTATCTATCTATCTATCTAGTTAGCTAGTTAGCTAGCAAGCTTGCTAGCTATATATATATATATATATATATATATACATACATATATATATTTGTATATATATACATATATATATATATATACATACATCTATATATTTGTATATTTATATATATATATATATATATATATATATATACATATATATATTTACATATATATATATATATATATATATATATATATATATATATAGACATATATATATATATATATATATATATATATATATATATATATATATATATATATATATACATAAATATACACACACACACACGCACATACATACATATATATATATATATATATATATATATATATATATAGAGAGAGAGAGAGAGAGAGAGAGAGTGAAAGAAAGAAGCAACCGGGATCCTATGGCGTGTTTCATATAGAGAAAAACGTTAAAACTCATTTCCTTTCTTTGGCGATGGTCAACAGGTAAGATATTTGACTGATGTCATATCAGTCGGGTTTCGATTCAGGCTTGAAGCAATGGGGCGTCTAGCGATACTGAGAAGTTGTGATACAGCAAAACAGTCTGTCTGTGGATGACGATTTATACATATATGAAATTTACACATATATGAAATTTACAATATACGACAATTATTTTTGAGGCATTTTTTACATTTTTTTTTTGTGCGTGATTACACAATGGTTGCATTTAAAAGCATAATGAACTAAATTACGGTAATGGATAACAACGTAAATTTTTGTATAAATACATATATGATGGTGATCTTGGAAGAAGTATGTTAAGATCTATCTATTTGTTTTTCATATCTATCTATCTATTTTTCTATCTATCAATCTATCTGTTTTATCTCATCTATCAATCTAGCTTTTTTATCCTATCTATCTATCTATCTATCTATCTATCTATCTATCGATCTATCTATCTATCTGTTTTTCATGTATATCTATCTGTTTTTCATATCTATCTATCTATCTATCTATCTATCTGTTTTATCTTATCTATCTATCTCTCTATCTGTCTCTCTATCTATCTATCTGATTTTCACATCGATCTATCTATCTATCTATCTATCTATCTGTTTTTCATATCTATCTATTTATCTATCTATCAATCTATCTGTTTTATCTTATCTTATCTATCTATCTATCGATCTATCTATCTATCTATCTTTTTTCATGTATATCTATCTGTTTTTCATATCTATCTATCTATCTATCTATCTATCTATCTGTTATTCATATCTATCTATCTATCTATCTATCTATCTATCTATCTATCTATCTGTTTTATCTTATCTATCTATCTCTCTATCTCTCTCTCTATCTATCTATATATCTGTTATTCATATTCATTCATCTATCTATTCATTATTCATTCATCCATTCATCTATCTGTTTTATCTTATCTATCTATCTCTCTATCTATCTATCTATCTATCTATCTGTTATTCATATCTATCTATCTATCTATCTATCTATCTATCTGTTTTATCTTATCTATCTATCTATCTCTCTATCTGTCTCTCTATCTATCTATCTGATTTTCACATCTATCTATCTATCTATCTATCTATCTATCTGTTTTTCATATCTATCTATTTATCTATCAATCTATCTGTTTTATCTTATCTTATCTATCTATCTATCGATCTATCTATCTATCTATCTATCTATCTATCTATCTTTTTTCATGTATATCTATCTGTTTTTCATATCTATCTATCTATCTATCTATCTATCTATCTGTTATTCATACTATCTATCTATCTATCTATCTATCTATCTATCTATCTATCTGTTTTATCTTATCTATCTATTTCTCTATCTCTCTCTCTCTATCTATCTATCTGTTATTCATATCTATCTATCTATCTATCTATCTATCTATCTATCTATCTGTTTTATCTTATCTATCTATCTCTCTATCTCTCTCTCTATCTATCTATCTGTTTTTCACATCTATCTATCTATCTATCTATCTATCTATCTATCTATTTATCTGTTTTTTCATATCTGTCTATCTAATCTTTTCATATATATTTTTTCTTCTTTTGATTTTCTAAAAAATATTTAATATTAATTGCTGCAGCACAGTTGACATTAAATATGTGGCGTCAAAAAACAAAAACAAAAAAAACCCGCCAATGCTTACTAGAAGTACGTTTCCACCTGTTCTGCCTAATTCTTCATGACGCTCTCTTTCATACTACATAGTGCAGATTCTCCGTCATTCCCCTTCAAGTGAACTACACCAAACACATCCATTCTTTCAACAACAATTTTTCTCTAACCTCCTTTAAAATAAATGGGGTTAGAACCCATAAGCTTTATCTCGACGAGAACAGGTGTTAGGAGAAGATTAATTGACACATAAGATCGAGTTAACTCATTCTCTGTTTAAAAAAACATGACTAAGTTTTGTCTTTGTTACTGTGGTTGAAAAAAATCCCGAATGTTATTTTTCTCTTTCTGTTATCTCGGCGTAAAATACAATCAACTTCATTGAGATCTCTTTTGTTCTGTTTTGTTATTTTTTTTCTCTAGTAAATCTAGTCATTTTAGGAGCTCTCTCAGCCGCACGTGTTTGGTATCTCTTTGGAATCTTCTGTGTCGTGCCAGACAAATTTTTTCGTCAAAATGATTCGTGCACATTTACAATTTTATCCACTCTCCCCTGCATTAGATATTGCCGCCATATCTAGCCTGGTGTTCCTGCTGCATATCCCGAGATGTCAGACAAAATCCTAAGAAGAGTTTTGCACATTTACAGATTTATCCACTCTCGGCTGCATTAGATATTGCCGCCATATCTAGCCTGGTGTTCCTGCTGCATATCCCGAGATGTCAGACAAAATCCTAAGAAGAGTTTTGCACATTTACAGATTTATCCACTCTCCCCTGCATTGGATATTGCCGCCATATCTAGCCTGGTATTCCTGCTGCATATCCCGAGATGTCAGACAAAATCCTAAGAAGAGTTTTGCACATTTACAGATTTATCCACTCTCCCCTGCATTAGATATTGCCGCCATATCTAGCCTGGTGTTCCTGCTGCATATCCTGAGATGTCAGACAAAATCCTAAGAAGAGTTTTGCACATTTACAGATTTATCCACTCGGCTGCATTAGATATTGCCGCCATATCTAGCCTGGTGTTCCTGCTGCATATCCCGAGATGTCAGACAAAATCCTAAGAAGAGTTTTGCACATTTACAGATTTATCCACTCTCCCCTGCATTGATATTGCCGCCATATCTAGCCTGGTGTTCCTGCTGCATATCCTGAGATGTCAGACAAAATCCTAAGAAGAGTTTTGCACATTTACAGATTTATCCACTCTCCCCTGCATTGATATTGCCGCCATATCTAGCCTGGTGTTCCTGCTGCATATCCCGAGATGTCAGACAAAACCCTAAGAAGAGTTTTGCACATTTACAGATTTATCCACTCTCCCCTGCATTCGATATTGCCGCCGTATCTAGCCTGGTGTTCCTGCTGCATATCCCGAGACGCCAGACAAAATCCTAAGAAGAGTTTTGCACATTTACAGATTTATCCACTCTCCCCTGCATTGGATATTGCCGCCATATCTAGCCTGGTGTTCCTGCTGCATATCCCGAGATGTCAGACAAAATCCTAAGAAGAGTTTTGCACATTTACAGATTTATCCACTCTCCCCTGCATTGGATATTGCCGCCATATCTAGCCTGGTGTTCCTGCTGCATATCCCGAGACGTCAGACAAAATCCTAAGAAGAGTTTTGCACATTTACAGATTTATCCTCTCTCGGCTGCATTGGATATTGCCGCCATATCTAGCCTGGTGTTCCTGCTGCATATCCCGAGTTGTCAGACAAAATCCTAAGAAGAGTTTTGCACATTTACAGATTTATCCACTCTCCCCTGCATTGGATATTGCCGCCATATCTAGCCTGGTGTTCCTGCTGCATATCCCGACAAAATCCGAAGAACTTTCTTGCACATTTATAAATTTATCCATTCTGCCCTGCAATATATATTGTCGCCATATCTAGCTTGGTTTGCTGCTGCCTATATTTAGATGCCTGACTAAATCCAAAGAGTATTGCACATATACCAATTTAACCACTCCAACCTCCATTAGATATTGCCGCCATATCTAGTGTGGTGTTTCTGCTGCATATCCTGAGATGCCCGACAAAATCCAAACAGACTTGGACATTTATAAATTTATCCACTCTTTTCTGCATTGGATATTTGTCGCCATATCTAGTGTAGTCTTCCTGCTGCATATCTCGACATGCCCGACAAAATCCAAAGAAGTGTCTTTAATGTTATAGGTCCTGATCTGGCATATCGACTTCTGCCACTTTTCCCCCGCCATTAATGACACCCGTCTGTCTTTCTATATAAATATTTTCAAAGCATTTCTACTAATCAACTATCCCATTAGTTACCGCAGCCGTATGAATTTAATTCTACTACTAGATTACTAACTAGGTCTGATCGGTTTACTTTTGAAGTAGATAGGTGTACCGCAAGTCCTATTCCAATAGTATCTTTTTTCCCACCTCTCGTCTGTGGAAATCTTTTTTTTAGATTCTTGCAACCCTTCCTTACCACCTATAGTCTTCAGAATTATAAGTGCAACGCTAATGGCCATTTTCTGTCTTCCTGGAAACGATTCTTTTATTCTCCTCACTAAAATCTCTTGTTCTGTTTCACTTCGAGTAATCCTTTGCGTCTTAGTGGCATTAGTGCCTTCCTTGGGTTGAAATGATTATGAATAACTGATAGTGTTAATTGATACCTTTCCTGAATGACTTGATGGTTTAGGTTAGGCACTGGCGAATTTTTTTTACGAACTGTGAGTCGAATGCAATATTAATCGTCAGAAGACGGGCCAAATTACTAAAAAATTTCAAGGCAATTTTTCGTTGAATTTACCGCTGCCATTTTCATTAGAGAAGAAAACAAGCTAAGGATCTGCTGACGAAATGGGAAAATGATTTACTGGAAAAGTTTTCTACAATAAAACACTTCGAAATTTTCCTATATTATCACTGATAACAGTGCGATCAACACACGCACCTGTGTCTGATTACATCCTAATTTATTTATTTGACTAATTACATGCCTACCAAATTACAACTGTCACTTTCTGATGCAAAATACAAGTGTATATGTTGTTTCCATTTTCGTTCAAATTTCGTCGTTGCTCACATATTAAGTCCAGGGTATCCTCAGCATCCTCCTGTAGAACGATATTTCTGCTGCCTCAAGTCTCTTTTTCATCTATGATAAGACAAGTGTACAGTGTCAGCCACCCTATATGACGACTGATATTACGTAACAGTACTCTTTTCTTTTCGTGTAAGGTCATTTCGACGTGGTGTAATAATTGGCAAGCTTGTCTCGCTAGATCATACTATGACAAAGTAATGATTTCGCTCCTCACTGGGTGCCACATACTGTCGGCCTCGTGCCACATCTAAGCTATGCTTAAAAAAATGGCCTTTTCTTTGTCTCTAAAGAAACTGTCCCGTTTCTTAATACTTTGTTTACCTGTTCGAAGACATCTTTTGCTATCGAAATGCACCTTCGGATGTTCGGCATCACAGTTTCCGTCCTCTGTAAAAACAATTATTACATATTTTACGTAGTTGTCCTTGCTTGATTTTGATATCTCAAATTTGTGACTTCTATGTTAGGCCGTCCCACTTGCTGGCAACTATATATTCTGTCTTCTTGCTTATTGATCCGTTTAGTTCTTTCTTCTCACTTTCCTTAATTTAGTTCTGTCAGTGCTCCCGTAGTTTTCTTTCTGTGTCTGCTATCAACACTGTGCCAACTAGGTTGTTAATATGATGACCGCCAATAAGGGGGGGGGTGTATGATGTTTAATTCCCTCAGAATCGCTTAATCTTAATCCGACTCCATTAACCCGGAATATTTATCAAAAACTAGTATTTATAAAAACGAATAAGCACATATACATGCATATACACGCAAACACAAACAGATGTCTCCGTTCTTTTGAGCATACCTTACGTTTACCTTTAAGTACTTTCAAAAATAACTTAGCCAATACGTGCATCTAGATAAGGTTTATTCAAAACAAAACCATTTTAGGGGGTCGGGTTTCCAGGGCATTTCGACGCACAGTTCAAGAGGTAAAAAAAAGTTTGTCCGAAGAAAGATAATATTCCATTTGAAGGTGAAGGTGTGGCGTAATGGAATAGGCGTTTATATATTTTTTATGAATATGTTTTTTAACTATTTTTTTAAATATTTCTTTTATGGGTGCATGGAAGCAATGGCGAACGGGTTTTCATGGGGGTAAATAAACGTGTTATTCTCTCTTGGGTCGTTGCTTTGGCTTTGTACTACCGACACCTGCGCAAGCGTTGTATTACATTGCTTTATTACCTTTGTTTTTCTCTACTTTCACTTTCACTTTCACTTTCGTATCAAATGTAGCGTTCTTTCTTGAATACACTTTATCGCAGATCGTATCGTGAGCGAACAGTTTTGCTCATCAATAATTGAAAGTAGCCTCATGGAAATTCTCTGCAAAGAGATATTGTTTACTCAGTGAACTCTCCTTAGAATTTGCTTGATTTTTTTTTCGCTTTTAATCGTTTATTTTTGCTTGTTTTTATTTTTAATATTGAAATAATGTTTAAAAATATTTTTTTAGCATTTTGAAATAAGATTCCTTATCGGTGTAATTTTTTATATAGTTAAATCGCACCAAACTTACTACATTCGTCACTTATACAACCATGTTACTTATATAAGTATATTGTTTTTTTTCTTTTGACAGGGGATGTGAGTATGACCAGATTTGTCAAATAGATTTCAGTCCAGTATTAATAAATATATATTTCGAACTCTATCACAAAACATAAATTAATAGCCAACACCTGTTACGGAAAATTAACTTTTCTGGCTTTTGTAAGTACGTTTAACATTTACAAACAGGTACATTTGTAGGTAACATTTTTAAAAAAAGAATAAAACTAGCCTTAAAAAATGTTAATCATC